GCTTCCTGTAGTCAGCCGCTGGTCAGTTTCAGCAGCGGCTGAATCTGGATGCCAGTTCCGACTTACATACAGATTCAACTTAAGAACAAACCTACAGTCCCTATCTTGTACATAACCCGGGGACTGCCTGTACTCTGAATTCCAGCACCCAGACTCTCACTTGAAGCTGTCTATCAGAAACCAGTAAGTGTGAAGAAACAAGGGCACCTAAGAACCGTTGGAAGACAGAGCAGAACAATTGGTCCTGGATGCCAGTTCCGACTTACATACAGATTCAACTTAAGAACAAACCTACAGTCCCTATCTTGTACATAACCCGGGGACTGCCTGTACTCTGAATTCCAGCACCCAGACTCTCACTTGAAGCTGTCTATCAGAAACCAGTAAGTGTGAAGAAACAAGGGCACCTAAGAACCGTTGGAAGACAGAGCAGAACAATTGGTCTGAACACCATAGAGCAGATGAAAGCATCAGGAGTTTTCCAGTAAAAAGGGCTGGAAGAGACTAATTTTCACCCTGTTCACCTCACACCAGTATTAGAGAATGTAATAATACTTCTCTGCCCCCTTCCCTTCTCAAGCAAGCTGAAATGCTGGTATAGTATTTATGCTCAGGTTTGCATTGTTACATAGTGTGGAGTTTATGCTGTTTTATGCTGATTGCACTAGCATGACTACCATGAGGAGTTGGAATATTTTTCTCTTTATTGCATTGTTTACTGGTTCCCCCTTCTTCTTCAGTTAGAAAGAAACCTCCACCGTTCACCAAGATCCCTATTTAGCAGAGGATTTAAGCATGTGAATAATCCCATACCTATTCAGTAAAACCTGTGCTTAAAATTCAATATATGCTTAAATGTTCTGTTGAATAAGATTGGGATAATTCATGTGCTTAAGTGCTTTGCTGAATCATGGGATTGACTTCCTTCACAAACACATCCACAAATTCTGTTACTGTAACCTATAGTGTCAAAACTTCTGGACAGGTTACCCCTATGCCTAGCTGAACTGAATTGGTCCCACCCCAACAAGAATTGCATAGGAGCAGGTGGGAGGGGAAAAGTCACATGTTGAATAATGAGCCTCAGAGCTGAAGGTCACTTGATTTGCTTGAACCAGCCTAGTTTCTGCCTCAAGGAAAAAATAAATTCAGTACGAGTCAGAGATGTAAATACCCTTTAAAACAGGTAACTAGTTAAACAATCAAAATTATATTAACTGGTTAACTGTTGTGTGCCCTCCAGGCAGGGGCCACCAAAGCATGTGTCCCACTGGCCATCCTGCTGCAGACAGGGGGCTCCTCCAGCCCAGACTGGCCAGATCCTGCCAGCCAGGCCACTGTGCCATGGGCAGAGAGCTGCTCCAGCCGGGCCTACTATACTTCATTCTGAGGATCTCTGGGGCCAGGACCACCACACCACAGTTTGGGGCTGCTCCAGCTAGGTTTGATGAGGACCAGTTAACCACTTACCGAGTAAGGATGCCGGTAAGCCTAATGATTGTTGGGTAACTGGTTTACCTTTTGCATCTCTGGTATGAGTTGCTGTTTTGGAAGCAAATGACTACAGTGCTATTCTAAAGGTATAATATAATATTAATATATTTTCCATTGTCAGGCTAAATGTCTAATTGGTATTAATTCACCACACAGATAAAATAGAGATAGTAGGAGAAAAATGGTTTTTAAAAATTATTAACAAAATAAAAAAATCTGACAGTGTCTATAATTTGATATAAATGTATTGTATTCCTGGCAAGAAAATTCTAATGCTGTTATGCACTAGACATGTTTTACAGTACGGTTGGCTGTCATCCCACTCGCTGTGGAGAATTTGAGCAGAGTAACCCTGACCATTATTTAGCTGAATTGCAAAATCTCGCTGAAAAAAATAAGGGGAAGATCAAAGCAATTGGGGAATGTGGCCTGGGTAAGTATTGTTGCAATAGGTCAAAATTATTCATTCATTGTATTCTTTAAAAAAAGGAATTAATTGTTCTTTTCTTTTGTAGATTTTGATAGATTAGAATTTTGCCCTAAAGACACCCAACTCAAGTAAGAGCTATTTGATAACTATAGAGATTGATGTATAAATCTTTCTAGTGTTTTTTTCAATTTCTGTTATAGCAACAGGCATTTTATCAGCTACATACCTTATCCTGTTTATCTAACTTTAAGTCTGATAATTTATAATTTTTTGACCAGCTATAATGATTATTTAGTCCTGTGTTCAAGAAAAATCAGATACGTAGGGTGCAATTCACAAAGCAATCTAGGTGGTTAAATTCCAGAGTTAAATAACTAAATCCTAGAGCACAACCTCATTGCAAATTGCTGCTTGACTGCGACCTGTATGCTTAAACTCACTCAGCACCTAACTTTATGCTGTAAAAATTCCATAGATGCTTAAATTATAGACTCTGAGGCTTGTGCACTGATGCTTTCCTCTAGGCTGCTGGACACCTGTCTCTTACCAAAGCACTAGAGCAATCAGAACTGGAGGAAGATAGGTATTGGCCACCTAAATTGCATGCAGGGCCTGGTGTAGTAGGCAACATATGGCATATGAAACAGATTTGGTTCCATTCACAATCTGGCTTGATGAGATTATGTAGCGTGACCATTCAGCCAGGGTAGAAAATCGGGAAAGGAAGTGGAGGGTAATAAATGTTTATATAAACCCCAAAATACTGAGACTATCCCTATAAAATTGGGATCTTACTCTCCCTGACTTTGGTGCCCACTTTACAACTTTTATCTCCATGTTTAGAGCACTCACCTGGGATGTGGGAGACCCATGTTCATTTCTTCCCTCTCTGCCAGAGCTGGAGAAAGGATTTGAACAAGAGTCTTTTCTCTCAGTATAGTGCTTGAATTGTGAACCTATGGCATAATCTGATGTGGGGTTTCCTCAGTCTCTTCTGTTGAATCAATTCCATTGTGGAGAGTGATTGGAGCAAGAAGATTGTTTCCATCTAATGTGCTGGCTTTTGTAGATTACAGTGGTTTTTGTGGATTGTTCCTATGATTTTTCTAGGCATCTAGAAGGTGCTGTGATACTCACTGTTGCACTGTTATATCCCTTCATGGAGTGTTGTGTTCATTTCAGTAAAGATTTGGACAAATTAGAGAGAGTCTGAGAAGAGCAACAAAAATTATTAAAGGTCTAGAAATCAAAATCTATGAGGGAAGATTGAAAAAAATGGTTTTGTTTAATCTGGAGAAGAAATACAGAGGGAACATAACAGTTTCAAACACGTAAAAGGGTGTTACAAGGAGGAAGGTGGTAAATTTGTTCTCTGAGGGTTGGACAAGAAGCAATGGGCTTAAACTGCAGCAGGTTAGTTTAGGTTGCCATCAGGAAAAATTTCCTGTCTGGATAGTTAAGTTCTGGAGTAAATTGCTTGGGGAGTCTGTGGGATCTCTCTCATTGGAGATTTTTAAAAGCAGCTTAGCCAAACACCTGTCAGGGATGGTCATACTTACTCCTGCTATAAGTGCAGTGGATTGGACTGGATGACTTCTTGATTCTATGATTCTATTGCACTCTAAATATTGTTAAACTATTCTTATACTTTATATTGAATCAATGCTTCCTTTGCTGTAGAATCAATGTAATTTTGTTAGTCACTGGGTAGGAGGGGCATTCACTGACTTTGCTATTTAGGAACTGTCAGGAGTTCCAGTCCAGATGGAAGCCTAAAATGGGTGAGGGAATAAAAGCTAAACTGTAGGGAAGGAAGGGAGTGGAACTGTCAGAGAGGATAAAGCCTGAAGTGGATAAAGTAGCAAGATATTGACAAGGGAGGCCTTAGGAGTAGAGCAACATAGAAAAGCTGGTGAGCAGGCTGGTTTGTCAGAAAGCGAAGCAAGGAGGGAACCAGCTTGTTCTGATGGAGATGTGCTGGTGCTGCACCCAAAATTGGGTTGTGTTGTTGGGGAGGAAACCCTGCAGAAATAAGTAGGGTTATCTAGGGAAGCAGCTGAGAAATACATCTTTGACAGCCGATGATAAACGTCAACAAAATGACCTTTGAACTTGTGGATGATGCTTGCACATTGCTATCCGAGTAGGGAGGGAAACCATGTCGTTCACGGCAGTGGGGAGATTACTTTGGACTTTTCACACTTTGCACCTGCAGTATGAAGGTATAGCTTCCAATACAGAAAGTTCAGTGGCTTGTAAATAGGTTACAAGCTACAGAATTTCCATGCTACTGCACTAGCCTCTTGTAAGAGGATCAGCCAGGTGGTCAGCATATTTGTTGTTACCAGTTTGCAGTAAAGATGTGAATGATTAGTCAACTAGTTGACTATCCGATAAGCAAATGCTTATCGGCTAGTTGACACACAAGTCGACTAGTTGGTTCCCACCCCCCTCTTGCTGCCTCTATCAGAAAGAGGCAGCAAGCAGGGGGAGAGAAGAGGGCGCTTCAAACACTGCGTGCAGCCCGGAGCCAGCTGGGGACTTCCTTGCTAGCCTTGTGCTTCCCACAGCACTTTCACCTTTGAAGTGTAGCAACAGCCTTAGGGCTGTTGCTATGTTTCAGTGGCAGAGGCACCTTTATTGACTATTTGATTAGCCAATTAATCTAAATTTAACATCCCTAGTTTGCAGTAGCAATCAAAATGTGCTGAATTCAATGGTGCACAGTCTGGTGAACACTGTAGGAGGAGTTGATAATGTCACTTTGAAGATTTTTCTGTTTCCTAAACAAAGCCGAGCCTACTAAAATAAATCTTCAAAGTCAAATTATTCTTCCCACTAGCTAACAGACAACTGCCTGAATCAATGTGGTCACTGAATCATAGAATCGTATGGCTGGAAGAGGCCTCAGGAGGTCATCGAGTTCAGCCCCCTGCCCAAAGCAGGACCAACCCTAATTAAATCAACCAACCCTAACTAAATCAAGTGCTCAACTTACACTTTTAGTAGCCTAGAGGGAAAACCTCTAATCAGCCACACCTAAATTGGAATGGGAGGGTAGAAGAGGTAAAATAAAAAAGGGGGATCATCTGTGAGTTGCAGAGGCAAGAAGTCTCTCCCATCTGATTGTTCAGTGGATTGTGTGAAATAATTGGTTATTTCAATTTATGCCAATTTCTGTTGGCTCCATTTTATTATTTTTCTATGTCTGGGCAAATTACTGTTAAAGAGTTTTAAAATTGCATGCCATAGTGTTAAGTAACTCTTATGTTTAGAGTTTCAAGATAAAGGAAAGTTTTCAAATTAATAATTACAAAACCCACATAAGGACCCTGAAAGAACAAAACCCCCAAATTGTGGCATAAGTGTAGCCAATTTTCCAGGTGCTAGCTTAGAGGGAGTCAAGCTATTATAATTAGTAAGATTGGTAGCAGTTAGCCACATGACTACCCTGGAGGAGAAGAAACATGGTGACATGGTTTCCCACTAGATGTTACCTATGACTTCTAAGTTCATACTTAAACATTTTCTGCTATAGTTTAACTTTGTTTCCTTTGGGACAGTTTTCTGTGCAGATGAGAGGGTGTGTGCCTCCTGTCTTGCACAGCCATTCTTGATGAACAAACATCCTTTGGCAAAGCTGCCCCAGGAGCAGTTTCTATCAAGTTTTCCTCCTTCTTCTCACATTTTGCAATGTAGAAATCATAAAAATTGGCCAGGCGATTAAGGGATATGAATTTAACGTAACAAGAGTAACTTTCAAATTGATGGAATTCCTTTAGCATATTATCTGGATACTGTTTTATATTCATTTGGATACTTTGGTTAAATCATATTTTGGTTGCTAGTTATTATAACTTTTGTGCTTAAATAATTGAGTTGATTTGATAGTTGTTTTGTTGTTGTTGTTTTAATAATAACTGGTGTGGTTTTTTTTCTCCCCTCTCCCTTGGGAAGCATAGGCTTTGTCTCTTGATAGATGCTGGTTCTCTGGTGCTGCCACTTACTCTTTTTCACATTTGTCATGTTTTTCTTTCCCAGTTCTGTATGTTCTGAGAGTAGTTATCATATTAAGTATTTATTAATAGTCTTCCAGTCCATTCTGGAGCTGTACATCTTATGTACCTACATGTGGAATGGAACTTCCCTTTTTTTATGTGTGAGGATAGGAATACTCTGTGCTAATTAATTTAATAACAAAATATTTAAAAAATCAGCATGTAATAAGTATCATTTTGTTGGACAGACACCATTGTCCTCTTTCCTTGTCCAATTAATGCTATGCTTCAAAGTGCTTACAGTGAGTCTGCTATGCATTATTGACTATAAGATCTGCATAAAGCACCCCTAATGTGTTTCCATTTTAGTTGTAATTTGCCACTCTGGTGACAGCTTGGCAGACATCCAACCATAAATGATCAATGTAGCAATTTAGAGACTGAGCTAGCTATCAATAGAAATTGACATAGTTGTTGAAATATTTATTGGTTTGCTTTGGAAAGTGTGTTAGGAAAACTTGCACTCTAGCTGGTTTCCCTCTGCTAACTCTTCCATACGTCTTTGTAGAGCTCCTGCATGACTACTGCTGACTCTTCATCCATCAGAGAATAGCACAGTGTAGAAAAAGGGGGAGGGAAAAAGCTGAGAGACTAGGTTAACCAGATCCAGGAAGAAAGAAGACAGATAACAGAAGAGATGAAGAGGTTAAGTTAGAACGGGGTGGGCAATAATTTTTAAAAGGGGGCCACTTCATAAATTTTTGAAGTCTCCCTGAGCTGCCCCAGAAGCGGCAGTTCTCCTTCGAGAGTTGTCTCTGTGGGTGCTCTACTCAGGTCTCTGTGTGTCCTTGCACCTCTGATTGGAGATTTTGCCTAGTAGTGCCTTCTCGCGCTGCACTTGCACAGTTGCTGTCTCACACGGTTTTCATCCGTTAGATGCGCGCACGGTGCAGTCTTCCCTCAGTTACTTTTCTACCCTCCTAGGCTAAAGATGGAGTCACAGCAGTGCCCTCCTTTCTGACAGAAAATAAATAAATAGTATATTTAGTTTACAAGTTAATAGTTTATAGTTAGTTTTACCTAGTTCTTTATTTTAAAAAACACAAAAAAACCACTTCCCCGGTTTTTGCCAAGTTCTGAATCCTCACGTTCGTTCAACATGCCTGGCTCTCCTGGCTTCCAGAAATGTGATTCATGTTGTGACTCAGTGCTGGTTTCTGATGGACATGCATCCTGTATTAAATGCTTAGGTGAAAGCCACATAGCTCAAAAGTGCCTGCATTGTCAAAATATGATGGCCAGAGCGAGGAAAGACCGCAAACTGAGGCTGAAGAATCTCCTCTGGGACAAATCCCTCGAACCACCAAGGGATAAGTCCCCAGAGACACAGGCACACTCAGCACCCCCGTGAGAGGACTAGTTCATCACCTCACAGAGGCTCTCCAGTGCTGCAGGCTTCCCTGGCATGAGCACTGCCCGCTTTATCCTGGGCCGCTTGTTCCCTGGTGCCGTCTACTTCTGGCACTGTGGAAAAGCGAAAACTGACCTCAGCTAAGAGAGCTGAGTCGGAACTGAAATGGCAAACTACTCCGTTGGCACTCACCGATTCAGCTAACTGACCGGCACCGAAAAAACTGGACATGCTGCAACCACTGGCACCTACAGGCATCCCAGCACCAATTGAACTAGCTGGTTTCAGTGTGAGATATCATTGATTCAGTGTGGATGCTATCTTTCAAAAAAGCAGATTGCTTTTTTGATGTGCTTTGGCAGTGTGGACGCTCTCTTCCAGAAAAGCTTCTTCCAAAAGAAGCCTACAGTCTAGACGTAGCCTGAACTAGAAGGAGAAATGAGGAAGTAATAATAGTGATCCTAATGTTGATACTTCCACTGAGAAATGATGCACCAATATTTAAAGTCTTTCTTGGTAGCCTACCAGACAAATAAAATAATTGGCAATCTGCTATATAATTGCAGCTGTTCGAGTATACAGCTGGTCCCTGATTTACAAACGAGTTACGTAACAAGCACTTGGTCGTAACTCGATCTGTTCGCAAGTTGGATTGCATTCACTTACGTACGGCCACGCTGTTCGTAAGTGCGGATTTCGTTTGTAACTCGGGTACCGGCTATATAAGAGGCTGGTCATAAATACGAACGGTCGTAAGTCGATGCATTCATAACTCGGGGACCGGCTGTACAAATGCCAGGAGAATGCTCCCATACTTTCTCCAGCCCAGACATACTCATTTTGATGGTTCTTTATGCTGTCCTGTTGACATTAACCCCCACCTGTTTCCTACATTTTTGGGAGACCTATACTATTTAAACTATGCTAAATTGAAACCTAAAATTCCTCAATTATTAAAGCTTTGTGAAGGTAATTCAGTTCCCCTTAAAAAGGGAAAGGAGGGAAATGTCACACTTCTGATTCAGTGTCTGCCCAGCATAAACTCCCTACATTCCCAAATGTTGCCATCTCTGGCCACTTATTAACTAATTTCCAAAATGTATCACTTTTAATATAGTCATGTGCTCAGGGGAAGAATTCCCTTTAAAGACCCATTCTTCAAGTTATTTCATAGGCAAAAACTCCCATTCAGTGATACCATGTAGTGATACTCAGACTTCAGTGGTTCAGGAGCCAAATTAGCCATTAACATTATGTAAAAGAGCCACATTAGTTTGAATTCATTGTTTTAGTTATCATATATACTATTTATATATATATTCTCACAGCAAAATGACTGACCACATATTCTACGAGGATTGGCTAATTACATAGTAAAAGCATCTTAGCTAACAACTTAGATTGGTTAATATTTAATTCACACAGCATTTTAATATCACATGCTGCAAAGAGCCACAGGAGACGCATTAAAGAACCACTTGTGGCTCCTGAGCCTCAATCTGAGTATCATTGTGTTGGTGTCTTAATACTTGTGGACAAAAATGCATGTGGGTGTTTTTTGGGATTTTTTGTTTGTTTTTTTAAAAAGAGCATTCTGCCTTATGGCACCCCTCATTCTGGTTTTTATTGAATCTTGCACTGAGTTTCTATCTAAAAACATTTTTTTTCCTTACAGATATTTTGAAAAACAATTTGATCTCTCAGAGCAAACAAAATTACCAATGTTTCTCCATTGTAGAAATGCACACACTGAATTTTTAGGTGGGTTTTCTTTGAAAGTTTAAAGCAATGCTCAAGACCAAATGTGATAAAAGTGTTTAATATTTTGTTTTTTTGCCCTTTAGCAAACCATTTTGCTTACATTGTCCTTTCTTTTTATTGGCAGAGATAATGAGAAGGAATAGAGATAGATGTGTGGGAGGAGTGGTGAGTATGAACGACTTTGTAATAAATTATATTCAATCTAACACTCAATTCATTGTGTGAGTACTGTCCTTTTATTTGTAATGTAATCTCAGTAGATTTCTTGTTTAAATCCATTTAAACCACTCCAAATCCATAGTAGCTTTACAATCCCTTTCATACTTTTATCCTTCTCCAACAATTTCTCACAAGGAATGAGAAATGTTCAAGGAGAAAGACTTTCCAGATGACATTAACAGTTTTGGCTTGCCAGAAGTGCAGCTTTAAGTATTTTTTGCATTTTAAACTGGCTCTTTCCTAATTCTGAAGTGTCCATGGCTGCAGTTATTTGTAAGTTGTTAGCTATAGTTGTAATCCTGTCCTGAAATTGAACCCCCAAACAAAAAAAAAGTGAGTTTTATACACAAATAAAATGCTAATAGTATGGACAGATTTCTTTTTAGATAGTGCTTGGGAAATTACTATCTCACTAAGGCTACGTCTACACTGGCAGGTCTCGTGCAAGAACATATGCAAATGAGGAGCAGTGAAGAATATCACCATGCCTCATTTGCATACTTAATGAGCCACCATTTTGCACAAGGGGCTTTTTTGCAAGAAGGAGCAGTCTACACTGCTCCTTCTTGTGCAAAAAACCCCTCTTCCACAAGAGCCATTCTGCCACTTATTTTCAGGCAAAATGGCTCTTGCTCAAAAGCCCCTTGCACAAAATGGCGACTCATTAAGTATGCAAATGAAGCATGGCAATATTCATTGCCACGCCTCATTTGCATATGTTCTTGCGCAAGGCCTGCCAGTGTAGAGCTAGCCTAAGAGTAAAAAATAGGTCATGCTTTTAACATAAGGAGCATGCTCACATAACTGCAAATGAGTCTGTTTTAGTGATAAAGTTCTCTGTGGCATTGATCCTACTACCACAAATGTCTTGGCTATCTTCTCTTTAACAAACTACACTTTTTCTGGTGCAACTAACTTTGTAACACATTTTATTTTCTTGTCTGTTGCATGCTCCAGGAGGAACAGTAACCATAAAAATTTGCTTTTTGTATAAAAAAAATTATCCAAACCATGTCCAGATGTAACTTTCAACCAGTATCCATCCACAGCAATAGAAATTTTATATTTTAATGTTAAAAAATTAATGCAAGCATATGACAATTTTAAAAAAATCCTCTTGCAGGTTACTTTGAGAGAGAATCATTCCTAGCTGAGAGAGAAATAGCAGGTCAAACTTCCAAAACACATTGAGAGACAACACTACTTATCAAAGGGTGGCACTCTTCATCAACATTCAGATGCAGAATTTGGCCTGTGACCCTCTTGTCCAAAGGCAAAGTGCTAATAGATGAGCCTTACTGACTATAATGTGCTGAATGCTATATACATATCTTGCATATTACCTCTGGTTTTTACTTTACAATGAAGAGCTATGTTTACACCAATATTAATTTTGAGTTACAGGCTTTCTTATATGATGAAGTTTATAAACATCTTTTCTAGGTACATTCATTTGATGGAACAAAGGAAGAAGCAGCTGCCATAATAGATTTGGATCTCTATATAGGAATAAATGGTTGGTAAGTTCTTTTTAACAAATGATATTTTAAAATAGTTTCATAACTTTGAAATATAATTACTTTCTAAAATGAGGTTAAGTCTTCAAAGTGATCATTTGTAGACCGATTTAGAAGTGCACTTACTAATCTGTTAACTGTAAAACATTCTTAACTCACAGGTCAAATGCATTCCCCTTTAATCATTAAGATGATTTAGTCTTGGGCCCTTTCTGAGACCCTCCATGCCAATTCTTGTTTGTAAATAAGTAAGGTTGTGGAGTCTAGAGGCACACATATTTTAGGATACAGTATAAAAATGTAAAATATATTGTTTAATGCAAACACAACCAAGAATTAAATGTGACCAGCCTGATCTACCAATGGACTGAAATCACACTATTAATTATACAGAGACTTTACTGATTTGTATGAGCTCAACTGCTGCATCACTTGGCAGGAGCATTTAAATTATCCAGATTTTGGGCCAGATGAACACAGAAATCCAACAGAAGCTTCCATGTATTTTACCAGGCCAGTGTGGCCATAGAAGTTAATTTGTGCAACTAGGACTGGGACAGGGTTGTCATTTTTAGTCATAGCTTGGACTCACAGTTGAGAGCTTTTTATTATATACATTGAAGCAAATAGTACTTACTCTTTATGTGGAAATTAATTCTTTTAAGAAAGCATTTTTGCTAAGAAACCATTTTTATTGGTAAGGTAATGAAATAGCAATCAGACCACATGGTAGCTAATTTCTGAAATTTATGAGCTTTGTAAAAAGTGCACTACCAAGTTCATGGCCATCAAAAAAGAATCACAGATCATGAAATCTGGTCTTTTGTGTGCTTTTATTCTATACTATATAGATTTCACGGGGGGAGACCAACATTTCCCAGATTGGTGGTCCTGACTCGAAAGGGGAGTTGCAAAGTTATTGCTGCCCTTACTTCTATGCTGTCTTTCAGATCAGGCGGCTGGAAAGTGGTAGCTGCTGATTTGAGGGCCCAGCTCTGCAGGGTGCAGCACAGAAGTACTACTGCTGATGGTGGCTGTTCCCTTAGAGCTGAGCGCCCAGACACCAGCAGTCACTCTCCAGCTTCACAGCTTTGAAGGTGGTGCCACCTGCAACAGCACAGAAAAGATCTACCAATGGACTGAAAAGAGGGTTGCAGTATTGCAAACTACCACAGTAGTCTTGTGACCCCCCCCTTCCCTCAACTCCTTTTTGGTTCAGAAACCTTACAATTGCAGCACTATGACATTTCAGATTTAACTAGCTGAAATAATTAAATTTACAATTTTTTAAATCCTATGTCTATGAAATTGACCAAAATGGATTGTGAATTTGGTAGGGTCCTAACCATAAGACTCTGAGAAGATTATTCCAATTACATGTAGCTTAAGTATGGTTTGAACAGATAGCCACAATCTTTTAACACTCACTCCCTATGTTTGATTTCTAGCTCACTGAAAACAGAAGCCAACTTAGAAGCATTGAAGTCAATTCCTAATGAAAGATTAATGATAGAAACTGGTAAGTTGTTCTGACCGACCATACTGCATTTTTTAATGTTTTGAAAACTTTATTGAAGTGGATTTATGCTTGTATGGCAATAGACATAAAGGGCAGACTTCAGACACAAACTCACCACCACAGTGGCAGGGTTCAGGAATAGGGAAAGGATTAATTTGTTCTCCATGGATAGGTCTACACTGCCATGTTAGCCCAGGGTTGGAACTGTCTGGGCTGTCCGCTGCCCGCGTGTTCCGCTGCTTTGCTCCCCGTCCCCCTGGTCTGCAGACCAGGGAGACGGGGAGCAAAGCAGAGCAAAGCCGCGGAGCCCGAGGGCAGCAGGACAGCCATGGTGCGTCTGGGCTGTCCCGCTGCCCCCGTGCTCCGTGGTTTTGCTCCAGACGCCTGTGGTACAGCAGCTGGGGCGCTGCCGGTTGGTCCCGTAGCGCCGCTCTGGGCACTACTGGACCAACCCGGCAGCACCCCAGCTGCTCTGCCCCAGGCATCCTGATTCAGCCCCTGCTCATCA